AGGTTCCACTGTACCTTAAGTGCTCTCTCCCCCCCCCCACATTCCTCCACTTCTGCTCCAGCTATCCTCCTGGCAGCTTTAGTGCTCTCAGGCCTCAAGTGAGCCCAGAAGCTGATTTGATTACAGATTGATCCATTACATAGCCATTTGCTTACTCTTACATAGATCTTCTAACCTTTTAATTTTTGCATTTACATTTCAGTACTTATGTTTTCCTGTTCAGATTTGCAATCCAGTTGTAGTCTTCTCTCTCCAGCCCAAAGTAAGCTGCAATATTGCATTATTTATCCAGAACTGTCCAATTTATAAAGCCAGAGTCCTTGTTTCTGTCTCTGTGCACCATATTGATATTTCAACTTTTTAGTATATCCTACAGTCATTTTTAGTGGAAAAAATTATTCACACATACTTATAAACTAGATTCCTATAGTTACAGCCAATCTATTCAGAGAAAATATCCAACAATGGCAGAGTATAAAGACAGATTTAAATCATACCTTGAGAAATGGGAAAAGCTAAAATTAGAAGTTACTTTTAAGGCCAAAATATTTGTTGAGCTATCAACTCACTTTTTGAAGGTGTGAATTTAGGTGTAATTTCACCTGCATGCCTTTTTGTCTTTAGATTCTAATCTCAGCAGATGATGAAATGGAGGAATCTGATGTGGAAGAGGATCTTAGGAGACTGACTAATTTAAAGCCTGTTAAGAAAAAGAAGCATCGCTTTGGTCTGCCCGTATGACAGGTTGGATACTTGCAGGTTAACGATGGATTTGCCCACCTCAGTGGATTTTCACTTGGCCGCAGGATGCTTGTTGCCTCAAGACTGTGAAGCAAAGGGAATACAGCCCATTGGAACCACTACCTGTTCAATTGCACTATGGAAAATATGCAAGAGTTTCTTCTCAACATGTGTTCACAAATTCCTGTTACCAAGGTGATTTGGATGGATGGGATCCTTCAGAAGACAGGCATAGAATACCATCATTTCAGCTGTGGTCCTGAATGACACTCTGAAAGTCACAGGAGGATTGACAAAATTTGAATCAGTATGTTTTATTACGAAAAACACTTTTTTGCAGCATACTGCTGAAGCAGAATAGTTTTATAGTTACAAATTAATGGTACCTATGGAACTAATGGGCTGCAAAGTTTTTTTTTTCTTTTCAAATCTCTTCTAACCTGTTTAAACTTTTATATTTAAGTTATATTTTCATACTGGGATATTTAAGGATTCTCTTTGTCAAAGAAATTGTGCTGTTACTTTGTGTGTGTGGTTAAATAGGTCAGACTTGCAGCAAAATGGGTTTCCATTGTCTGTATCACATAAAGGAGGATAGTGCAGGGACAAAGGGAAGTGGTAGCTGATTGCTTTCTAGAATGAGATGGCCTTGGTCTGAAGAGAATCAGAAGCCCCCTTGAACAAAGAGCAGTTAAGTGGCAGCAGTGATCACTTTTGAAACAGGGGTATTGTTCTGTGTATACGCTGAGCACTTTAGCAAAAAAGCAACAAATAGGGGTTTTCTTCTGTATATCAACTAAACACTTAAAGCTATTTTGATAATGATGGCTTCTTCAGTATTTGCAAATCATCTGATCTCACAGCAAAACTATTCCAAAGCTTCAGCAAACATTCCTTTTCTCAAAAAGCTAATGTAGTACAGGTAAAGCATTATTGCCTCTTTTCAATACAGTTCAGCTGGCTACTAGAGAGTACACGAATTACTACAGCTAATTCTCCATTTTTCCTTTCCTTTCCTTTCCTTTCCTTTCCTTTCCTTTCCTTTCCTTTCCTTTCCTTTCCTTTTTTCTTTTCTTTTCGTTAAGTCTCATTTCAGCTGGATAAACCAGAGTCAAAGCATAATATAATGGATATATTTGTTGGTTAATGTTAGGATCATTGCAGCTACCCTAGGGTTACTGTGGATGTGTCTCTGTTGATGTAATACTTGTATGCCTGATATCATTGATTCCCAATTAATTACTACTTGCAGTGATGGCTAGTGCCTGTTGGTCTGGTAGGGCAGAGGAAACAGTGGCCAATGGTAGGCAAAGCCAGCTAATTCTGGTTTTGTCCTTATCCTCTTCTCTTGTAATGGCACTAAAAATATTCAAGCAGTGGACAGCAGTACAATTCTTTAATATTGATCCGAACTTAATAATAATCTCTTATATTGGTTCACTAGATTGATGTATTAATGAACTTGCTTCTCTGATGACCTCTCCAACCTGTTACTTTTTCCAACCATTCCATTAAGTATCTATTCCAGGGCAAGCTTAGGGACAGAGTGGTGCTATTTAAACACAGAGAGAAAGATGTCTTAACGGTGGTCATATTGACATGTTTTCTTAGTTTTTAAATATAGGTTAATGGTTTTTCCTCTGCTCTGCTCTGCTCTAGAATAGGCAAAGGCAAGTAGCAGACTGGCTTACAGATCTTCACCTCTCCTTGGGAGGGCCTTTGTCAGATCCAATTTGGGAGCAGAAGTATTTAAACTGTTACAAGCCTGTTACAGCAGAGGAATATGTATACTACATTTTAGAAGGTCATGCTTAAAATGTTTTTGGAAACTTATTGTACCTCTGGGAATGAGAGTCAAACAGAAACAGTGTTAAGCACAATGAACACAAATTCTGGGACCTGAAATTTGTTAAGAATGGTCCCACAGATTTCCTTCCGGGTTTTGTGCTGACTACTTTCCACTAGGTCAGTCATATCCCTCAACATATTTATTCTCTGTCCCAAACATACATATGCCCCCACCAAGGGCTTTAAAAAGTTGTCAAAACTTTCTTCCTTCCTCATTCCCTGCATAATTATTTTAAAAAAAAATTAAACTAGTGCTGTGCCAAAACCTGCCTTGCAATTTTGCAAACATTTTCTTCCTCTAAGAGAGAGACTTCTGTCATATTCTCAGGGTTCTTGAGAATTACTCCCCTTGGTGGTGTTTTTGTTGGAGGTGGGAGAAGATGCAGCTGCTGCTGTTTTCTGTGACACATTTTTCTATCATGCAGAAGCTTCTCTGGCTACCCACCCTGCCCAATCTGAAAAAGTAAAAAGAAAATTGAGGAGATTGTTGTACAGTTCAAGATAGGATGTTCAGATACAACCTTTGGCCACCTCATCACAAATAATACAAGAACCTAGATCACATCCCTTAGAATCTCTCTGAAATGCCTTTTGGAATAATTCTCCAAATTCTTGTTCAGCTACTGGTAGAACTAAAATTGCAGGATATTTTTTCTGAACGGCTGAAGTAACAGCACTGTCTGCCAATCCCTTACATATCTATTGTTCACAGTGTGAACATACAAGCTGTTTCACTGAAAAACTTCTTTTAAGTGTTTGATGTTTTCTGCCCTAACCTATCCCCCCAAAAGACAATCAGCATTTCCTCCATCTGTACCCCTGAATTCCAAAATATTTCCCCTCGATAACTGTTATAACAGGACCTTGCCAAGAAGACAGAAACTGCTCCTGATACAACAGTCTAAACTAAACTATACTGTACACACGTCTGGGGTTAGTCTGGATCAAATTACACTTTAGTCTGGCATCAGCATGGTAATTTATGCATCTGGAGACACTATTTGCAGTCATTCTGGTGAGTTGACTGGTCAATAAGTTCAATATCCATCAGTCTTTTCTCCCTGCCTCTTCTTTATTTATCAAATTTATTGAATTTCTAGGCGGACTCCAGAATGAATCTGGGCAGCTTTCCCATTTTTAAAAAAAATATATATTAAAAAGACAACACTCACGTGAGGGGACAACATAAATTTCTTTCCCATCACCCCCAATGTAAAGAGGGTGCCCAAAGATGCTAACTCAAGGCCTGGAGGAATGGCTAAGCTTTTAAGGGTCCCCTGAAGGGGGGGGCATACTCATCTTTTTTTCTCCCCACTGCTTTTTCTCAAAAAGAGAGGCCTCCTCTCCACCTCCCCCCCCCCCCCCCCCCC